TGAGACAATCACGAACCAGACGAAAAAGAGTACTTCTCAAATCTCTGACCAGTACTGCACTTACCGTAGCTATTGAAGTACCCGCCACGACCTTTTGTCCCAATGTCTTCTTTGAATGTGATGCGAACGCAACGTACGTTGTGCCTGTGGAAAAGCTGCATGAAACGACTCAGACCCACACTACGGGTAGCTCACAATCTCTGATGCTCCAAGACAAATACTGTAGCGCTGCTGTATCGTGACCTTTTCTAAGCTAGCAAGGTATTTGGCTGGTGGGCTGTAACCAAGGCTAACATGCCTTACATGTTTAAAGGCAACATTAGCAAAACGCAGTGCAATGATCGAGAGGGTCATCTCTTTGCCAAGGTAATGGTCAATGCGGTATATCTGCAATTAATCCCCAGCCACAGCACCAGTGCAAAGGGTTGACTTTGCTGACTGCAAAGCATCCAAAAGCGTACTGTGTCGTTTGTCAAGTAGCATAAGAAACCTTGTGCCCTTGATTCCTCACCTCGCTTTCGTTAAGGACTTCCATGAGATCGTTTGACAACTTCTCTGAGCTCTCACTGTCGCGTCCAAAAGGCTTCTCAACTACCACTCTGTTCCAACCTGAAAAGTGCACAGAAGCTGGCACCATAATCCTAGGAAAATGCGGAAAAGCGCCCAAGGGTTGAGAAGCAACGACCTCTTGAATGCCGTTCCACAAAAGAATCTAATTTACAGGCAACAGGATATTCACAGTGGGTGTCTCCAAAACGTCACGTGTTCAAACAGCTGTTCAGGGGTTTCTGGGGTGTGGCCTACCCTTTTGTGCCCAGCAGTGCTTCCTGATTGATCGAACGCTGAGCGCAAAGAGCTGTGGTGGAAGTGCCAAGTAAAACAGTCTGTTGTTATTTTTCTCCGGCCCTTCAAGCTTGTCAAGGTGATTGCTAAGTTTCTTTAGTGCAACAGCATCGTCGTAGCCGTCGCCACTTCTGCAATCATTACCACAATCACACCAAACTGCTTCCGGGTCAATACAGCAATAGGGTGTGTTGGCACAACCGAGGAGTGACGAACGTTGCTCCACTTTTGTTTCAACTGTGGGAAGGACCGGCACCGGGACCACACCGGCTGCGTACATGTATGTGCAGATGCGTCGAAAACGTTCTACAAGGTCATCGCATTTGCTACTCAAAGGCGCCATCTGACGTGAGAAGTAGGTTGATAACTCCCTGAACAATCAAGGCGCAATAAGGCCTTCAACATGTCCGAGCTCTCCACAGGGGCACTCTCACTGAGTAAAGTTCTACCCCCATAAAACTCTACACACATTTTTGACTGCAAGTGCCCCATCAGAGATTTCAACGCACTTGAGGTGCTCTGCAATCTGTTTCCAGAATTCTTCTACATCCAGTTTTGAGCGCGCAAATCCCTAGACAAGATAACAGATCAAGCAAACAAACTGCATATATAAAAGCATCGGGGCATCCAAGTCAACAGCAAGTAAGAAATTATGAAAGCATTGCCTCAAAGGAACTTCAGCTAACTGCTACTACTTCTTCTGTCTGAAAGCGTATGGCAGCAACCTACTACGACGTGCACATTTGGCGGGAGAAGACCTTCGCAAAATAGGCTGAAAAGCGCGGGACTGAGGTACAGCCACCCGCAGCAAAGGAAGTAGCTGGTGACGAAATCGACAATCCCACGTCCAGCCGCACAGTTAGAATTAACTATGCAGGAGAGCTTCTAAACGGCCATACAAAATCTGCTACGCATGTCAGATGCTGTACTCACTATGTCTTCCTCTTCGCCAGGTCCCCACTGGCACCAAAGACGATGACAGAAAGATGGTGCGTGTCCAGTACATTGGTGCTCGTGTGCTTCACAAGCAGCGGCCGGCTTGCGTTCCTCCTTCTTCTCGAAAAGTCGTCAATTGAAGGGAAGGAAACAAGATAGCATCCCCCGCTACTGATTACTTCACGTGCCGGGAAATTAAGTGGCGACTGCACACCGAGAATGGCATACCAATTCCCAATGATGAAAAACACTTCCGCTAGTGCATCAGACAGAAAGAAACCTAGCGGACAGTTTACCACACCTGTTCTGGGTCAGTTTCCATCTGGAACCACGTATTCAGCTTTGACTCTCCCTTGATGAGAAAAATCTTGCGGCTTGCTCCAGCAAGGAGGTGTAGAGTAACAGATATCCGGTCGTGCACGTCAAAACTGTTGAAGACACGCACCACTGAAGATTCTGCGTTTTTGTGTGAGGTTTAAGCTGGAAATAGTAGCAAATCACAGATAGGTTGCAACCCTCACCGGTCGGTGGTCGAATGAACCACCATGGTACGTGGGCATCTCGCTGCTTCGTGCTGAGTCGCGCTTAGGGGCGGAAATATTGATGCTATGTGACCATCATCTCCCATTCCCAAAAGGACTAGATCCAAACCTCCGTGCCGCCGCAGTAAGTTGCTCAGACTCTGGCCGCACAGTTTGCACACCACTCAATGCAACTGAGACTGTGCAAAGAAGGTAGCCAAATAAGTTGGAAACTCAACAACAAACAGACAAACAAAGCCAGACACTGCAACTAGACGCAGAACAGATTCGAAGCAGAACCCTCCATGACCTCTACAACAACTGCCTGACCACTCGACTTGAGTAACTGCTTTACGCAGTGGAATTTAAAATGATGCAAGGCATTAAGCCACTCGGCTGATTGTCGGAACCCACTTCTCTATACTCTGCAATGCATCTATCCACGGGCAGCGAAGTGTCGGGATAAGAGAAGTCGAAGCTGTAAGGCCATGCATTAGCCGTTGGCCTGAACTTCATGGTGCCGCCAGCAGCGGGGTCACTCCAGACTTCTTGCCCAAACAGCTCCTCCATGACGAGACGGACATTTGACTTAGGATCAGTCGGCGGGACGTAGCGCTCATCGACAAGGAAGAAGCTTACGCGCGAAAAATCTATGGCCGAGTGCGAAAAGCTGTCAGAATCTGGTTGTTCGCTGGACTGCCATTGATCCTTCTTCCCTTTTTGGATGTGCGAAATTGCTGTCTGCCTTAGTGCCGCGTACAAAGGCCCTGGAGTGCTGCCGCCTGTCATCCAAAGTAATCCCACAATATATCAACGGAAAAGGGCTCACTTTTGCAAGAGGAAATCGGATCATATGTATGGTACGGCGTCGACTAATGAAGTAGCCAACGAACAGATTCATAAGGCTGAGACGACGAAAAGTACCCGCACACATATGCATAATGGCAATTTGTTCCATATGACGATTTTGTACCTGAGAGCCCTACGACGAGTTGCTTAAAGGGGTTCTCGTCCAGTAGCGACCTAAGAGTCCTAAGGACAAGGTCCAGACTCTGCGCTTCAAAGTCTTCTACACTCTGACATGGCACACTGATGGCAGCTGGCTGCATCAGCCTGAGCCTCCTTTCTCCAGGTGACGAACTCATACTGGCCGACATAGCAACTCCTTCCTCCGCTGTCCTTGGTTGCAAGAACGAGTTACCTACAAGGCACACCGGAACTGCGCTGAGACAGAACAACGTCAACACCGGTAGTGCTTCTTTCCGTTCATGCTGAGGTGAAGGCAGTAAGTCCGCAATACGTAACTCGCGTGTGTAACGTGTAAGTCTGATGGATTTAGGCTCTCCATAGACTGCGCTTAGAACTGCAGCTAGTACAAGAGTGTACAATCACCCATCCCTCTTCGAGTGGCCAATACGTAAGAGGGACTATGGAGTGCTTAAACTCCATACATGTGGACGCTCCACATCCTACACACTTCATTCACACACTTTAGACCAGCTAAAGCACTGTCTGCCGACGCTTTACGTGGAAGTGTGCTGCCACAGCTTGGCTTACTGCTCAAATCTTTCGACATATTTTCGAAAAACTCAACACTGTTTGTGAGAACAGCTCTGATATTACTGAACTCAACCACTCCCGAAAGATGTTGCTGGTTTGCCACACGCTCCGCGCACGAGATTTACATAAAAACAAACCCAGACGGATTTTGAAAGGTGTACTTAATCATATTTGAGACAAAACTGTAAGGGAACTGCATCCGTAACTGATAAGATGGTTCAGCTGTAATTCGCCGCAAGCCTCCACACGAAAGTTGGGACTGAAACCCGTAGTGTCTGTCAAAGTAGAACATACCTCCGGCTGAGGAACCCCCTCCCTGCAAGCACCTCATTAAACCAAATGAGAGACTCTATAACAATCTTGACGCTGCTGTACTAGGCGTGTTTGGCGAATTGTTAATGCGGCTCGTTAATCTGTGAGGATGTTGGTGCTACGTTGGCTGCCGAGCTTTAGTTGCCTTCTTTTCCTAAGCTTTTAACTCCGAAATGGCTGCACTGTTTTTAAAGTGTTCCAGAATGTGTGTTGAGTCTATAGTCGAGGTTGTGCATGGGAGTCGATGCGATGTTGGTAATTGGCTCTTGTAGGTCATCTTACTGGGGGGTTGGCAAAGGTAGGAGTGTATCAAAGCTTGTAAACGGCGCTGCAAAACCTCATTTTCGATGCTTTTCTACGTGAAAATTTCAACTTTAAAATTTCCTAATTCACATCATTCGGTAACATCGCACAATTTATTCCTTGTTCACTCTGTGGAAGCGGTATTCCTACTGCTCTGTTCAAACAGGCCACGTAGAAGACACATACAAGCTGAACGTCTCGCTTGATGTCTTCGAGAGCTTGTAGCTCCTGCTTTGTGATATTCATTTTATTTCTCTGGTAGTAAAGCTCAGTTTTCACATTCCGTTAGCTTTTTTTGTTTGGCATTGCAATTCGGTTCCCACATACCCGAGCCTTTGGCTACACCTCCATAACAGGTGGTTCGGCGGCTCAGCGTGGTAGCCCTAAGAGCTACTAAAGACAAATATAAACAAAAATATCCCATTGTGCTTTGTTATACTATCGCTATCTCTTAAAGCTAAGAGTTCTGCCTGTCTTCACCCGGTGTAGTTGTAGGACAAAGTTGCTTTCCTTAAGGAGCTTGTGCCTGAGCACTATGCACCACCAGCGTAGCCAATGCGAGTGCTGAGTGAACATGAATACCGATGTTTGGTAAAAAGGGAAGGGCAGCACATATATGATGGCAAGCTGTTGATTAGCCTTGCTTTGTGGATTCCGTAGCGTGTTGCCCTCAAAATGAAAAGTATGTGTCAGGCCTTTTGATAGCTCGCTGAGGCTAGTGCACTACCAAGGTACGATTCAAATCCCGGCATGGCCTCTAGACTAATGCAATTCAATTTCTCAGTATCTGAAGAGCAGCTACTTGAGTTCGAGAGGCTAGGAGACTGGCCGTCGGTCCAAGTAGGAG